CCCCAAAACCCCAAAACCCCAAAACCCCGAAGTTCTTTATTTAATCGTCAAAGAAAACGTTGAAATTCGATTACAAAATAAATGATAAATGTTTTGAGTGATGATAATAAATTTTAATAATTTACCAATGTCAGATTCCACATCCTTAGACAGTGGACTACCAAGTTTCATGAAAAGTGCTTTTTAAAAAAAGAGACCAGTTACAGAGTTAAAGCCTAATAAGATCCTAAAATCAGTTTTGTAGTAGCATACTCCTCAAAATCGAGGAACTAAAAATATATCTATCAAGCTCTAAGGTATAATCGGGCAGAAACATGACTAAGCCAGAGATGAAAATAAAGATCAAGAATAGAATACTGTAAAAAAGATAAAGAGGGGTCTGACTAGGCAATAAATGAAAACTTTAGAGGAAGAAAAAAATTGAACAATATTTTACCATGGTCATTATAATACAATAAAGCCTAAGGAATCGAGTAGGTTGCAATAAAAGATTGTTCACTTCACTGAATAATAATAAGATGAAAAATAGAAAGAGTAGAAATAATTTAATACAATAGATAATTAGGTCGAAGGTGAAACTATCAAGCTACTTTAACCTCCTGATGCAATAGTATCTGCAACCTAGGATGTTAATGAGTATATAAAAAGCAATATGAGCATTTTTAAAGAGGAAGTTCTCGAGAGAGATAGAATGATAAGAAAGAGGGTAGTCGGGATATCTGGAAAAAATTTCTTGAAAAATATGAGAGCCAATCCAAATGGATCATTAAATGACTCTGTCAAAATTTTAACCACTACTTCGGGAGGTCTCGACAGTTTTTCATTTAATCCTGATAAAAGAATCTTTAATACTTTTGCCAATGAAATGTAACTATCGTTATTTGATATAGACGAGGATGAAGATTATTAAGGAGAGGATCCACGAGTATTATTGCGTCTTGCTTAAAAGAAAAAAGATTTAGTAATCTAAGAATTGATCAAAATGGATGCAGCTAACAGTAAATTGGAAATGCTTGTCAAAGATAGAGATAAAAAGATTACCTAACTATAATACGATCTAAAAGAATTGAGAGAGAAAAATATAAGACTAATAGAATAACTCAAATTTAGAAATTAATTGCCGAAGATGAAAAGAGATATTGCCAGTTAAGTAGAGTAAGACATACCTGGCTACTAATCAGAGTAGAGCACATAGTGCTTTAAAGAAGTACATGATAGAGCAGTCAGAGAATAGCAAGAGGCAATTTAGTATCTGAAAGAAACTTACTTTCATAAGTACCACTTATTCAGAAGATACTCGTAATACTATTTTAGCGTGCAAGGTGACACCAGAAGAACGAAGGAAGACTAATTATTCGAAGTTTCAGATGTTTATTCAGATGACTCTAATTTAGATATAGAAACAAAGAAGGACTATGCAAAATCTGCTGAAACTTAAATCAATACTTAACCTCATAATGTAAATGATGGAAGGAGGTAGAATGGTTTGACTAATGAGGAATTCAGGAAAATACCCGCGAAGACATTCAAAAAGCAAATGTTGAATAATGGTACTTGTAGGTACTTTAAATGCAAGACTTGTGAAAAGGACTTCGTAGAAGGAGATAAAATAAAAATGTTATTTGAATGCAATCATGAATTTCACAGAGACTGTCTACGACCATTGCTTCAAGAATCTAAAAGTTGTCCTTTCTGTGACAAGGAGATTGTTGCGAAAAAGCTATCTAGGGTAGGAAAGAAAGAATTAATAAAAAGGCTTTAGATTGCCCAGCAACTGCCATAAAAAGAAAGTGCCTTAGATGATACTACTCTTATAAAAGCCAGAGAGATTATTTTAAAGAAGCACAGTAATTGAAGAATTACCATTTTAATGGAAATTAATCACATAAATATTTTCGCTTTTGACTATTGGGCAAATTAAAAAACTAGAATTATACTTGATATTTTATTAGTTGATTTTATATTTTTGGGGTAAACTAGAACTTCGCACATTTTCCCATTTTGAAATATGGGGTTTTGGGGTTTTGGGGTTTTGGGGTTTTGGGG